GAGTGTCAACACTCCAAGCCCACACCTCGCCTCAGCCCACAGTGGCGTACGCCAGCGTGAATGCGGCGAGCACCAGCGGTGCCCATCCCAAGAGAAGGCCGCCGGGGCTGCCGTCCTTCTTGTCAGCCTCCTTCGGAGCAACAGGAGACGACGTCGATCCTCCCTCCGAAGCTGCAGCTGCGGACGCTGTATTCGTGGTTGTACTTGTGGATGCAGGCACCTCTGTTATGGTCGTTGTCGCTGTGGCGGGCGAAGTGTCCCCAGCCGCTGTCACGCACACGGACGGGAAGCAGCAGAGGACGAACACCACCAACAAGTACAGCAGGTTGTACCTCATCAGCTTCATGGCTCTTGTTGAGTGTTTGATTGGTGTTCAATTTATTTCCCTTACCATGGCGGCCAGAAGGGTAAATGAAGAGAAATGGACCTTGTCGGCGACACGCAAGCACAGCAACGGTAGTACCCCGCACATGTTGCACCTACAGGAGGGAGTGGCAACTCTCTGCAATGGGGCGACAGCCCCTTAAGTGTGGGTGTGTCTTTCCAACGTACGATCACCACTTTGCAAGCCTCTTTCCATGAAGCAAAAAATAATAAATGGATGGTCCATTGAGGTGGGGGAAAAGAAGCACAGTTCTCTCCGTGAAGGGCCGTATAGGAAGACAAAAGACACAACCGACAAACTTGCCCACCTCAACCTCATTTATTTCCTCTTTCATATTACCAGGAGTGCGACGAAAGCCAAGGCGCCAGTACAGCTCGTATGACGTTCCATCGGTGTTGGTCAGTCGCGCCAATAAGTCACTCGTTTGCGAAGGACGTATCTTTCATCTTCCACGTGCGTTGCTTGGTCTCAGTGTTGACGTAGTAAAGGCGGCCTCTCTTTGGGTCCCTAAACTCCTTCCACACCCCACAGACCCGTAGGGCACCCTTCTTCACTGAAGTCGGCTCTTCCTGCACCTCTTGCTGCGTTGCTGCAGCTGCCTTCTTCATTTCAAGCACCTCCGATGGCGCCTCCCACTGTGCCTCTTTTGTGACAATGTGCCTGTAGTATGTCCTCCCAGTTGGCTTGTGGCGCAGCTCTTTCCAGCTGCCGTACACTACGCCACCACCCGCTTTCGTCGCCGGGGGTGCCTCAGCCACAGTTGTAGCAGCAGCTTTTGCACAAGAGGTGGGTGTCTTCACGAGCGGTTGTGACTCTGGTGACGCCGCTGCTTCTCCTTCCTGCAGCAAGGCCAAGTCACGCTGTTCTTGTGCCAGAGCCTGCGACTGCAACAGCAAAGGTTTACCGCTAGACAGTTGTGTTTTGTGCTGTTCAGCTTCGCGCTGTAATTCTATCCGGCTCGCCTCATTAACCGCCTCGTTCTTCCCCACTTGCTGGTCAGGTGATGCCAAGGCGGATGTGGCTGCCTCGCTATCCCGCCGTCCCTCACACTTCATATTGAGTTCAGTGGACCCCACACTGCCAGTGAACGGCCGTTGTTGTTGTTGTTGTGGTGGTGGTGGTGGCGACAGTTTCTGGCGCCGGTCAGGCTGCGATGGTGGCTGCGTCTCTTGCAATGCCCGCGGAGGTCGCCCGGTTAGTGCGTGTCCACCCTGACTCACCGTCTGAATCGCCTCTGTTCCGTCCTCCTCATGAAATTCCGTGTGCGCCTGTTGCTGGCCGTCAAGTGAAGATGGGGCGCCCCTGGTGGTTGCCACCTGCTGGTGCGAGGGCTGGGGGAGATGCGTCTCCTCTATGAGGTGGAGGGCGCGAATGCGCTCCCCCTGAGACTTCAACGAGAGGCTGGACTTTTTCTCCTCCTGCTCCAAAAGATGGAGAAGCGCACGCACCTCGGCGACTGTCTCCGCCCCACTCCAGCAGGTAGATGCGCCACTAAGTGGGCCGGACACGGACCGTGGCAGAGACGGCGCACTCGCCTCCGCCAATGCAGCTGCAGTAGGGTGGCGAGGCAGCGGCTGCGACTTGGGGCGTGGCGCAGGAGACGAGGACCCGAACGGCGGCGAGCGCGTTGGCTGCCACTGCTCAGTTCGCAACGAGGCTGCGGGCGACCGACGGGACGGCAGGTAGAAAATGGCCTCGCGCATTTCCTCCTCACGCACACGAATGCGACGCAGCGCTTCGCCCCCCTGATCGCCCCGCTGAATCGTGCGAGCACGCGCCGTGTCTGCTGTCGTCGCCGCCACTGTCTCTGCGGCGTGCGCCTGGAGTGCAAAGGACACGTCCCAGCCATTCAGGAGCTGCAGCGCCGCGACGATGCCGCCCGCGATCCCGGCGTCCGCGACCTCAAGAACAAGAATGCTGGAGTGCGTAAAGAAAGCAAATTCGTACAACACCCGCCCCCCCTTCCTGGACATGTGGCGGCGTCGCTCCCGCACACTGCGCCAGCACAACTCAGCGTGGAGCCCGGGGTCAGTGGGGCGGTAGACCGACAGGGACTCCCTCGTGAGACGCACCACAGCGCGCTCAAAGGGTTTGGCGCAGTGGCCACGCAGGCCCTTCATTGGGTATTGTAGGGCGGTGATGCCGCCACCGATGCTCTCAGGTTCACGGTGCGCGCAGTCCCCGCCAAACTCAAACGCGGAGCACGCCAAAAACGCATGTGTGCTGCTGGCCGGTGACAGCTGCTGCCCATGATGATGACTCATTTGTGCCGAGTCTCGCCGCTTCACTGCCACGCCACATGATACAACGAGGAAATAAACACGAAATCTCAGCAACGCCTCCCGCGGGGCTGCGGCTCAATAGCGACAACAATTAAGTAGAAGGGAAGTGAAAAGTACGCGACGTTACACAGTAGAAAAACAAAACAAAACAAAAACACTTATTCCAGAGTCTTGAAAGCAAAAACAACTATGTAAAGAAACGGATAAAATGAAGGAGTCTGTCCCTTTGTCTCATGCCTTTTTGGGTGGCCGCGACATTGCCGCTCTGCTGATCGCTCTCCAAGGCTGCACTGCCGGGGACGCTGTCTGAAGGCGTGACACACGTAGCAGGTTGAGGTACACACACATTCCGACCGCATCCAGTACCCCCGTGCCCCCGGGCATCTGGCATTGGCCCAGTTCCACATGGTCCAGCATAATTATGTTGCCATGGGTGTTTAACCCTGATGGGACCGCCACCGTGTCCCCATCTCTGTGCGTCGGGGCGTTCAGTGAACAAAACCACTCAAGAATAGGCGAGTTCAGCCGCGCTGCTACATCATAGATGCTCGAGACAGACTTCTTGAAGGCTTTGGTGAAGAAGCCCCTGACAATGCTCCTCCTGCCTGGCGTGTAGACAGCCTGCGTGACGTACAGCTTGGGGGGCACACCACCATCGGCACGCGGAAGATCGGCATGCAGCAGCTTCGTAAGCGACTGCAGCAGCTTCTTCAAAGAGGACTGATTTACCCAAAGGGACACAATGCACCTGGAACGAATCCGCGCCGCGGGGTAATTCAGCTCACTCGCCCTTGCGCCCACCAAAAGAAAAACACGCTGCTCGCGCGAAGTCCCCCACAGCATTGCTAGCGGCGTTGCCAGCGGCACCTCCGCAGGTATAAAGCGGTTCGAGAGATGACCTAGCTCCGCGAGAAAGTTGGCTGGCCCCTCGCCGCCCTCCGCGAAAAACAGATGCTGAAAATCCAGCACAATGAACTCATTCGCGGAGGCGGGGTCATCGAGAAACGCCCTCACGTCCTCGACCACCTCACGCAGCGCCACAGAGATTTGACCGTGGGTGGTGTATAGCCTGTCATTGTCCTTAGGGTTGGTCGCAACGCGCAGATCCAAGTAGCGCACGCCGTGGTCGAGCTGCGCACGGATGCTCATCCCTTGGCACTTGGCCCAGGCCGCGCTGACCCCACGAACGAGAAAGCGTGCCAGAGAACCAATTTTTGCGCGCCTGTAGAGAGGCCCCGGTGCGTCTCGGCCAAATGGCGACTTCTTCTGGATGCCGTGTGTTCCCGCATTGTGAGAGCCAACAAAAAACACCTGCGTCACCGCACTGTGGCCAATGAACGAGCGCAAGTCATGCATCCAGCTTTGCGGATGCCATTCGGCAAGCATGAAAACGTCATGGTCGGGCGGCATATGCTTTGGGAACCGCCAGTGATACCGCCAGCAGTCCTACAGAATCAGGCGTAGGCGAAGGAAAAAAAAAAGATAGACGTTATAATTACAAAAGCAAACATGCTCAGAGAAACCACATCAAAAGCTATGAAAGAGAAGACGCATTTACAGCGTACCAGGTCAAGCACAAAAACTGCATCAAAACAATAATAATAAAAAAAAACACCCTGCCAGTCGTTTTATTCCTATTTTCCACCTGCTCAGCACCTTTGGTATGAGGAGGAAAAATACTTTCCTTTAAAAGAGAGGGTTGAGTATCAGTGATAGTTCGAACAAGCCCGCCCACTAGCCATGGCGGTGCACTCAAATATCCTACCACGACTGGAGGGGTGGAGAAGAGCAGGCGTATCAAATAGAAAAAAAAAACATAAATAGACTGATATTTAAAATAAAAGCAATAATATCAACAATAAACAGGAGGAGTTTAGCCCTTTGCGTTCCTCACCCACTCACACCACCCCTCGTGAAAGTTATACCCCCAAGCCACTACGACGATGAGGAACGCTTCACGCTGAAGGCGAGTTTACCCTGGCCGCTGTTGACGGACACCTTCACGGTGCTATTCGGCGGAAGCTGCTGCGCGAGAATCATGCGGCTCACCTCCGTGGTGATGTGTTTCTCGACCCAACGGCGCAGCGGGCGGGCGCCCATCTCGGCGTCGAAGGCATTATCCAGCACAAAATTTTTCACCTCGTCTGTAATCTCCAGCAGAATGTCATGTGCCTTCAGTCGCTCGTTCACCCCTGCAATGATAATGTCGACGATGTCGTGAAGCTCCCCAAAGCCCAACCTGCGAAAGAGCACAATGTCGTCAAGACGGTTGACAAACTCCGGGCGGAAGTACCTCCGCACCACCTGCATCACCTTCTCCCGTGTCGCCGCCCACACCCCTGGTGAGTTGCTCAAATGGACCAGGTGCTCTGACCCAAGGTTGGACGTCATAATGATGATGGTGTTGCTGAAATCAACAGTCCTGCCGTGCGAGTCTGTCAGCCTGCCATCGTCCAGCACCTGCAGCAACACGTGGAACACAGATGGATGGGCCTTCTCCACTTCATCGAGCAGAACCACCGTGTGCGGCCGACGGCGTACGGGCTCCGTCAGCTGCCCGCCTTCCTCGTGACCCACATACCCTGGTGGTGCCCCAATGAGACGTGCGACAGCGTGCTGCTCCATGTACTCACTCATGTCAATGCGAACCATATTCTTTTCGTCGTCAAAGAGTTCAACCGCAACCGCCTTCGCCAGCTCCGTTTTGCCGACGCCCGTTGGACCAAGAAAAAGAAAAGAACCGGTGGGAGTGCGCGGCCGTGAAAGACCCGCGCGCGAACGCAGAATGGCATCTGAGACGCGTTCCACCGCCTCGTCCTGCCCCTTCACGCGACAGTGCAGGTGGTCTGAGAGATGCAGCAGCCGCTCACGATCGGTCTGGCTCAACTTTGCAACCGGAATACCCGTCCAGCGGGCTACCACCGCCGCGACGTCCACCTCCGTGACTTTCTCCTGCACCATGGAGGCTTTATCCTTCTCAATCTGCTCCTTCAGCGAGCGGATGCGGTCTTGAATGGCGGGTATGGCATTATACTTGAGATCGGCGGCAAGCTCCATGTCCCGCATGCGCTCAGCTCGCTCCAGCTTCGTCTTTTTCTCGTCCAGGCGGGTTTGCATTTCCTGCAGCTCATCAATGCGCTTGCGCTCCTCATTGTACCGCTCCAGCAGTGGTTGGAGGAGCTCCTCCACACGCTGAATGTCCCCCTTGACAGCCCTCAATCGCTCCTGCGATTGCTTCTCCTTTTTGTCACGTTCAAGAGCCTTTGCCTCAATCTCCAGCTGGTGTTTTTTGCGCTCCAGCTGGTCAATCTCCTCTGGGCGCGACGTGAGCTGCACACGCACGTTGGCGCACGCCTCATCAATAAGATCGATGGCTTTGTCGGGCATGAAGCGGCTCGTAATGTAACGGTCGGCCAACTGGACGGCTACCACCACGGCATTGTCCGTGATCTGAACACCGTGGTGTGTCTCGTAGCGTTCTTTCAGCCCACGGAGAATGCTGATGCACTCTTCCGGGCTTGGCTCCTCCACATACACCGGCATGAAACGTCGCTCAAAGGCCGCGTCCTTCTCGACGTATTGGCGGTACTCCTCCAGGGTGGTTGCACCAATCGTGCGCAGCTCCCCGCGTGCCAGCATTGGTTTCAGAAGGTTGGCTGCATCCATTGCGCCCTCCGTCTTGCCGGCCCCGAGCACAAGGTGGATCTCATCAATGAAGAGAATGATGGTGTCGGAGCTCTCTCGCACCTCATTCAGGACACTCTTGAGACGCTCCTCAAACTCGCCACGGTACTTCGCACCGGCGACGAGTGCACCGAGATCCAACGAAAAGATGCGTGAAGACGCGAGGGTGTCCGGCACGTCACCCCGAATAATCTGCTGTGCAATGCCTTCCACAATGGCGGTTTTGCCAACGCCAGGTTCGCCAATCAAGACCGGGTTGTTTTTCGTTCGCCGCGACAGAACACGAATGGTGCGTAATACCTCGTCGGCCCTGCCAATCAACGGGTCTAGTTTCCCTTCCTCTGCCTGCTTGCACAGGTCTGTGGCGTACTTGGAGAGAGCATCGTAGTTTTGGTCCTGAAACTCGGAGGTAATCTTTTTCCCCTTGCGCAGCTCCATCAAAGCCTTCTCAATCTTTTTGCTGTCAGCACCAGCGGCCTTGAGGATGGTGGCTGCGTCTTTGCTCTCGTACAGCGCAAGGAGGAGGTGGTCAACGGCCATAAGGGTGTCATCCAACGCAACCCGCTTCTGCTCCGCGGTGTTTAACACACGCGTCATGTCCGTGTTGGGGCGCGGCTGCGTCGGTGCGGGGCTTTGCGTGGGAACTGCCTCGATGCGGCCCATGAAGGCGTCCGTCACGACACCCGCCCCAATCTTCTTCAGGACACGCGAGGGAAGACCGTTCTCGTCCTTGAACAGCGCGTACGCCAGGTGAACGGGGTCCAGGTAGCCATTACTGTGCTTGCGCGCCACGGCAACAGCCTCTTGCAGCGCTGTTGAGGCCGCGCCGGTCCACTCGGGCTGCCCACCGGACATTCTTGTGCCTTTGTGTGAAGTGTGGTTTTAATTTTATTTTTTTTTGTTATCGTGTTGTTGGTTTTGTGCTTCTCGGTTATGTGCTTGTCTTGTGACGGGTGCATTCAACGGAAGGCATATCAGCGGCAGAGAGGATGGAGGAAACACCTGAACGCGGGCAGATACGCATCATCGGTAGGTTGGCAGATTGACGGGAGGGGCCGGGCAGCGCAGGACCACGCACAGCTCCCACAACCACCTTCTGGTACAACAAGACAAAAAAGGAAAAGTGAGGATGCGCAGAAACGGCTTGGGCGGGGGCGCGGTCACATAATAATGCCGTTTCCTGCCAAATCTCTCCTTGCCCCGCCTTCTCTGTCGCCCTGGATCCCACTTTGTGAGGAAGCCGCGTGGCCGCCATGATTCTGGTTCTCATCAACATGCGTCCCATCGTCGTGAAAAGTCGCTTCGAGACGGGGCTCCACGTACTCGTCGCCAATTGCGGCACCCTCCACTCCATTGTACGCCTGTTGATCATACACGTCATGATACTCCTCGCCTTCTTGTTGCGGGTCAGCAGCGAACTCTTGTGGATAT